TGACTACAGGGCACAGTGTTCACACTCATCATCCACACAAACATTAATACACTGGAAAGCTTTGAAAGCAAAGCATTCTGAAGTAAAATGTCAGTGTACTGACAGTGCAGGAATGTAAAACTTCTCCCTCTCTGAACATTACACACAATGATTAGTATATATTTCTAAGGAGGTGCACATGCAACTGCTTCTTCACTTTGTGTAGAAAGAGTAAACTTACTTTGCTTCAGTATTGCTCTTTTTTCCTCACCTCTTCCCTCCTGTCCCCAAAAGAAACAAACAGCTGATATTAAGAAGGCCTTATTTTTCTGGTGGAGGAACCCAAGAACTAGAGAATAAAAACCAAAATTAAACCCAAGAAAGCTACTTATCAAGAAACAGATTTAAAGCGAATGTTCGTAGACTGCAAGGTGAAACATCCAAAGCTGCAATCATCTCACCACACACAAAGAAAGGCCCCTTCCATCTTAAATTATTTTAATAAAATAAAACCACTCATTCTCTACTCACACACAAACTCCTCCAACAAATTTCATAGAATCACAGAAGCACAGAATGGTTTGGGCTGGAAGGGGCCTTAAAGACCATCTAGTTCCAACCCCCCCGCCTTGTGCTGAGACAATTTAAGTAAACAATTTTCAATAGGCAAAATCTAAGTAAAACATATTAGGAAGTCAAATTTGAAAAGCACTTTTAAAATACAAGAAGCATAGTTGTGCGGGTCTGCATCATATTTAAACAGCTACCTAGAATGCCAGCAGGGGTGTTACAGGGGCACCACTTCCTCACACTGACCCATGCACAAGAAATTTAAACTCAAGGGACACTCCAGGTATGGGGAGCCTTTGGTTCAGACCAGACCCCCAGTGAGAAGTCTGGAGGACAGAGGGCTGTAAGTATTCAACACTAGAAACAAGGCTGGACATTGTGCAGTGTTGAATGCTCCAAAAATCCCACTGAAGCTACAAATGTGTTTCATCTTTCTGAGAATCCTGCTAAGAAACAGAAACCCCAGAGTCTTCACACTTGCTCCACCTAACTCACTTGGCAAGTGCTGCCAATGCCTAAATAATCTTGATACAGCTCTGATGCAGACCACCCTCAGCTCCAACTGATGTTGCTGAAGGCAACCTGTGTACAAAAAGCTGTGCGTAACAGCTGACCTGTGTATAACAAAGCACTATTTTTCTCATTTTAAAGTATTGTAAAGATTAACTATGAAGCTCAACTGAAGAAGCACACAGCTATAGCTAAGGTTTAACAATCAATCTGCTACAGCCCAGGCAGTAATAACTATTCTTTCCCGACTCCCTCCCCATTGTGTCCCCCTTACTCTTTTTAGGACATAAAACATTACTCCATCTCATTTTGACCTAATTACCAAAACAGCCTTACACCCATGCATAGAGCCAGTAGGACAGTTTTACAGTCAACAGCATTCTGACTAAGAAGTATCTTTCCATTATAACACAGACAGGAAGGCAATCGCATTACTACCATGCTTTGTTTAGGCTAATATACCTCAATTTTTAGGAAAGCCAAGCTTAGAGACCTCTGCCAAGATTGCCTCAGACTATACAAACATTCATTTCCACCTATGAAGTTCTTAGTACCTTTGTAAAGAAAGACTATGTTAAAATAACAGGAATGCAGCACACTCCTGTGCTACAAACAAGCATTCAAGCCTTGAAATCTAAATGACTGCCTAATTCACAGCATTAACTGTAACCTAACAGCTTATTTCCCATCCAGTATCTGTGGTTCATGCTTTTAAGATTCAGGGTGCTGAACAGGTGGAACTTTTACCATAACAATTAGAAAGTTCAAAAGCTCATTTCTGTCCTTCTGTCTGGTGGGGTGAATTTGGCACTCAGACCGATACCGGCTTTGCCAAACAGCGAGGGCTGGCGTTATGCATGCCTCATTACACAGTTCTGTCTGCCCACTGTGGAAACAAAATTGCCAGCTTTCAAGCTTGCTTGAGCAAGGACTTCATATTGTGAATCCCCCAGCAACACCTTATATTCCTTCAGCTCCCAGAGAGACAAGGAAGGTGAGCAGCAGGTGGCAAAAGGCCACTGGGGAAGGCAAAGTTGCACAGAGGGAACCTAAAAATACCACTTTCTTAAATGGCTCCAAACATAATCTGAGGCCTGCTCTTGAGAAACTGAATATACTGAGCTCCTTTAGACCTGACAGGAACAAGCAGAGGTCATGCTGCTAAAGGATGCTTGCAAAGTGAAGTTCTGGGTTATCTCTGACATCATCTAAGGACCGCAAAAAGGAGCATATTCAAAGTTCTTGACCATTTTTCCTAAAGGTTCTCCTATTAAGCCACATCTGCCCCTCTTTTACTCACTAGCAATTATCCTACTTCCTGTGCTTTAGTATAATATTGCTCTTTTTATCATTTTAGTGTTATGAATGAAAGTACTTTAATTCCAGTTCATGCCCCTTCAGATCATACTCCTTTTCATTGAGTTCTGTTAAATAACATTCACTATGATCTCAAAGCTCTCAAGGATAAAAGAGTGGTCCACATCTTCCCACAATGTGACAGGCTCATTTCTGAAGCTGGTAGTAGACACACTGTTTGATGAAATACGTTACAGTTCACTGAACTCTGAAGGACATGAAAAAGACTTGGGTGGGCCTTCTGAAGTTCCTTCCAGTTCCTCGAAGAAAGACAACAGAACTGGAAGGGAACCATCAGTTAAAGGGACGCAAGCACAGAATTATGAAATGCCATCTGGCTGGTACAGGATAAGGAAATGTATCCTTTTTGGTGGCTTCCACCTCCACAGAAGAAACAACTGTTTATGCAGCAAAATGGTTTGGATATTTTGGAAGGTCCTGAACTAGCCACCGAAAAGAATACTAATAAAAAATACAAAAAATATAAATATAAAATATAAAAAGAAAAAAGGAGAGATTAATCGGAAGACTATAAATCTGAAATACTACTACTACTAATGGTGAAAACACAAGTAATCACATCCCTTTCATAGCCTGAAGAAGCTGCATTAATGCCCAATTCGAATATATTAGAAACTTAAGCAACAGAAAACCTGTATTCTTATACGTGTATACTCAACAAAGGTGATACTACTGACATGAAATGGAGAGATACACAAATAGAACATTAAGATCAATATTGCTGCCTATTTAGGAAATAACAAATAAACCAAAGGGGAAATGGTTCTACAGTGAAAATTGCATCACTTGTTTACAAGCCACCAAAAACTGGGAGATGAACTATCTTGGACATTTATAGATCAATGACCCTGCATCTAAAGCACAAGGAGAGGGAATATTGACCCTTAACATGCAGAAGGGAACAGCATGTCCATGCACGCAGCTAAAAATGTTCAGAACCTCCCCCTACACCGTGACTCCAAAATGGTTTTCACACAGAATTTAATAAACACACACTGAAAATATCATTCTGTGCATTCTGCAACAAGATCAGGATTTCTAAAAAGCAGAAAACATAAAAACACTCGATTTGACAGCATGGAATTCTTGACCTCAGTTCGACAGGTAAAGAGAAACTGGTCACCAAAATAAAGATCAGCCATAGCTTAGCTACAGGTGACTGTGCTTTGGTTATTATGTGCAAACAGGATGGACCCCAGTTTCTAAGTACTCACTGCTTTAAAAGTTCCAGTTTCATAAAGCTGGAAAAAATCCTTAACTCGCTCTGGAGGAAAGACTCTGACTTCAAAGATGCATGACTCTATTTTAAAGCAAACTTCCTCTAAGGTCACATCTAAACAAAAGGGCCACGAATCATAACTAGATGAAAAAGTTACCAAAATTCAATCCTTTCCCTCAGAGCACATATAAACAAGGGGGGGGGGAATAAATAAAACAAGAGGGAAAGCTCAGGGATAGCAATAAGATTGAGTGAAATGATATAAACTGTTCAGTGAAGCAAGAGATACAAGAACTGGTCTTTTTGGTACATTAGGAACAAAAGGAATGCTAGCAGTAGTACAAAATCCATTAGTTGATACAAATCCCTTAGTACTAGAATCTACACAAGGCAGGACTGCTCAGCACACAGCTAACAGTCTCCAGTGATGTACTGGTACCCACTGACAAATACCATCTATTCCAATAGTAACCAACAGCGATAAATTACAGCAATTAAGGCCAGACACCAGGACACTGGATCCAGCTAAAGCATGTGCAGGTCATCAAGGATGTTGCAAGAGCGAAAATAATCTAGAAGAGAGTCCTAAGAAACATGAAGAGAGAAGTCTTATGCCTCACAAAGAAAAGCCCTACCTCAAACTGCTACGTTTTACAAAGATGAGTTTGGGAACAGTCACAGCAGAGACACTCATTACCCAAATGTGAGAACAGACGGCTTCTCAGCCTAGCAAAGGTACAGGCAACATTAACCTTAAGTAAAAACCACAGCATATCAGTCATTAAAAATGGCACCTACTTCTAATCGGCTCAGGGGAATTCATTTACCACCACAAGTGAAACAGACCGCCTTGCTGGCAATGCTTAAAGACAGTGACAAAAAGGTTTTCTAACTGATGTCACGGCTCAAAGAGATCATGGCCTCTGGTTTTCATCATGCAGGTTGCTTTAAACAGCGGTTCTCCAAGTACTCACAAGCCTGCATTATTCTTGTGTGAAATCCTTCTCAGCAAACCCTAACAAAAAGCAAGAGTGCTGGTCAAAACCAGCAGCACAGCTTTGAAAATTCCTCTCTTGCTCCTGCGTTTCACGGAATATTTGTTCTCATGTAACGAGTTTCCTAACCAAATCCACTTTTGATTTACTCAGTGTTTAGACGCCCACTATACTCTCTGTACATCCCTACTTTAACATAAGTGGGTCCTATGCCAGCTTGCAGACCGAGACATCTCAGCCTTCACTACTTCACGTGATGCTTCGTGCAAAGTAAACTTCTCCATCCCTCCGGCAGCTCCTGAACCTACCACAAAGTCCACGCAGCTCAGAAATCCCGCACAGGTACCTACCAGACAACGCTCCCTACTGCAGATCCTCTGAGCCCTTTCAGAGATCCAGAACCGCCTCCATTACATGGTTTATTAAAGCCGGTGTTCATCTCCAGTGCTGCACATGCTGATCTACGGGAGAGCCGAGCATCAGAACGCGCCCCAGGACACAGACACCCCCACAAGAGTAAACCAGCCGTCTTCCCCAACTTTGCCTGCACAGACACCGTGCCGCTGCTCCACGCTCGACCCCGCTCTGCAACGCCACGGGATGCGACACAACTCGGGAGCCACAACTTCATGGCTCGCCCGCTGCCGTCAGCCTGCGGGGCCGTCAGTCCGTCCGTCAGCCCGAGCGCCAGCGCGGGTGCGCGCAGCCCGTGACCCCGGCCGGGAGCTCCAGCTCCTGCAGCCGCTCCGGGACGGAACTTCTTCACTTTCCTCCCCGAGCGACGACTCGAACCAATCTTCCTCCGTCCGCACCGTAGCAAGCAAAGCCACACACAGGCTCCGGCTCCGCGGCTGGCGCAGGGCGGAGGGAAGAACAGACCCGAACGGGATCAACCCCCTGCGAGCCGGGCCGGGGGCTGGCAGCAGCCCGCTCCGAACTTACGCCCTGGCTCTCCCCCCACCCCGGCGCCGCCTGCCGCAGCCAGCCCGGAGCCCGCCGGCCCCGGCAGCCGATGCCCCCCGGCTCCGGGGACAGCGCTGGCCCTTCGCCCGCCGCCGCCGACAGACAATAGCGAGCGAGGGAGGGAGCGAGCGAGGCGGGCGGGGCGCGGCCAGCCCACCGCGCACACCCCGCGGGCGGCAGCAGGGCGCCCGCCCCCGCCGGCCAGGAGCCGCCCTTGCCCCGGGGAGGCGGACGCGCTGGCGCTGCCCCGGCCCCCGCCAGGAGAGCACCCGGCCCCCGGGGCGCAGCGCAGCGGGGCGGGCAGGGACACGCCTCCCCGCGGGGGCCGCGCTCTCTTCCCGGCGCCGAGAGCCCCCTGTCCGCCCGCGCCACTGGCGACGGCCGCCGCGAGCCCCTACCTGCCGGCGCCGCTGCGCCTCGCCCCCGCCGCCCGCCTCCGCTCACGGCCGCGCCGCCATCTTGCGTTTCACAAACTACTGCACTTCTTTTGGGGCGGGGGGGCGGCGGCTGAGCCGGGAGCTCCCAACGCCGCCGGCCGCCCGAGCCCTCTCCTTGCCGCCGCCCGGGGCGCGCACTCGCATCCTCCCGGCGCCTCGCTGCCCCGGGGCGGGTGCGGCGCCGAGGCCGGGCAGCGGCGGCCGGTGCCTCAGCCTCCCTGGTAGGGAGCGGAGGCGGAGCCGGAGCCGCTCCGCCGCTGCCCCGCCCGTCAGGCGGCGGACACCAGGCGGGGGGCGGCCCGGCCCCGTTGAGGCAGCGGTCGGCAGCGGGGGGCCAGCGGCGGCCGCTCGCCCTCCGGTCAGGCCAGGGGACTGCGCGCTGCGACAGCGACAGCGGGCCGGGAGCTCCCGGGCGGCAGCGGCGCCCTCGCAGCCCGCTCCTCCCCTCCGGCGGCGAACTTGGGCCGCGCACCCCGCCGGGCGTTAAGGACGGCGGCGGCCGTAGTCCCGTGGCGGGTCCCTGAGCTGTCGCTAAGGGAGAACACGGCCGCAGGGTGCAGGACCAGGGTCGAGTGAGCACAGGAGGGGCGGCTTTGAGGGGATGAAACCAAAATCGCCGTGCTTATTGTTCAGTTACAGAACTTGGGGAAACGGGACTTCTTCCTTTAGTACATACCTACGTATTTTAGTCGCGTTTTAGTTTTTAACTCCCCTACGCAGAATCCTTTCGTCGTTGTTTGCCATTTTAGGTCAGACGCTAAAATACGACTGTTTCCCTGAGAAAGGAAAATGAAGTTGTGTCATGCGGGAATCCCCAGGAGTTAACTGCTAACAGTTGATCATGGGAGATCAAGATTTACACGGTTAACAGTTAAGGACATTAAAATGTGTAGATACGGTATCCAGTCAAGACTAGTGACAGGAAGGGGTTGGATTAAAGCTTTGAGAGAAGTTTGGGTACCAGGAAGTTTTCTGGTTCCTCGATTCCACTCTGTCACTCGTGCTGAGGTTTTCGGACAGGAGCCTCGGTGAGCAGCAGACTGGCCCTACTGTCCCACTGGAAACCGCTGGCAGCAGATGAGGTGGAGACTGAGTTAAGGAAGAATGACATTAATTCCTTTGTGACATTTCCAATGTCACACACTGCATTAAAATGTGAATTTTCACTATAGTTTTTCTCCCTGCTCTGCTTGCCGTTGCCTTATGACCAACACACCAAGAGCAGGGTAAGCTGCTTGCATACAGTTCTTATTTAAAAGAGCTGGCTTTGAAGTGTTGGCATGTTATTGGTCAAAATTATTCTGTGATAGAACAGACAAAAACATCCAAGAAGTTCATTGATTTTTTATGAATCTGCCTCCAAACAGTACAAAAGATGAAATTCTCGTAGTACACACGTTTGGGACAAACATACTAGAGAAAGAAACAAAGTAAAACTCACCTACAAAACCAGCACCCACAGAGGGATTGCAGAGTTGGGCATTCAGCATCACCAGATACATGTGCGAGGTGACATAACACAAGAGCCATGTATTTTGCCACATGTTTGATCCCAAAACACACTAAGATTTATTCTGTTTGTCTGTTTTATTGTAATTTTCTGACAAATCAATCGAGAGAAATTTTATCTGCTGGTGTAATGGGGCATACATCTCCAAAACAGGGTATTGCTTTACTTGCCCTTAAATATACTTACACCAACAATATATTTACTTTGATGCAATAAACAGATACAATTCTCTCCAGGTACCTAGAAGACTTTACAGTTTAATTCAGCTACAAGCCACTGGACCTGCCCTAACAGTGTCTGTTAAAATGCTAGGACCATGGGAGCCTCTGGAAGATTTTTCCTGAGTTCCGACAACTTGGAATTCGTCTCGGTCAGGGAATCTGACCACTAGAATTAAACGGTCACAGGCAGGAATCTCTCCATATGTCAAACGAAGGATGCTCAAGCCCTGCTAGTTAAAAAGAGATTATGGTGAGACGAGAGAAAAGCCTCGCGCTCCTGTTATGTCTCACACTTCCTGTCTTTTCAAGAACGGCATGACTACAAAGTATTGCCATGTTTGACTGCCTGCAAGGGGAGAAAGAGGGAGCCACAGACTGAGAAAAGCACCCTCCTTCCATAGCCCACAGCCCTAGAAAGCATCTGGAGAAGAGCTGTTGACAGACTGAGGTGAACTACTTTGCCAGGGTGGACCTTCAAGTTCAAGGCTTTCCCTACTAAAAGGGCCAATGATTATGCCAAATATAACATGACAGTGATAGGAAGTGCCAGAAGACACAAACCAATTCACCTTCACTAATTCAGTTTTGTCATAGTCTCCTCAATGCTGGTAAATGCACTGACTGATAACTGCGTAGAGTTTTTCCAGCTGCAGAATGGTGAACTTCTTAGTTATCACGTGTGATGTTCTGAAGATGTAGCTTACGAGAGCAGCCATACCAAATGAAAACGTTACTGCCTCACAACTGCCTCTCATCAAAGGCTGCTACAAAAAAAGCTCTCAGGTTTGTGAGAAGTGTTTCTCCCACGTGCTTTCTTTAGGTTAACTCTATGAAAGCAACTTGGGGTATGATGAGGTTACTAAAAACCCCCACAATGTTACCTTTGAAATGCATTAAGATGTTTCTAAAGAATTGACTTTTCAGATACCAAAAAAGAGATTGGGTTTAAAGCCTTTTTGTCATATACAACAGACTATACAGCACCTGACTGCTTCAGAAAAACACATTTCCAGAAGCTGGAAAATGATGAAAAAGGCTTATCAAAGAAATATCTTTGATTGTTTTCTTTTAAAGAGAGGTACTTAAGTTACGTAGAAGTTTGTATCTGTAGTGTTTCCAAAGGCAATCCCAGCAGTATGTCACATACAAATACACTGACAGGACAAAAAGATAAAAGCAATTAGAGGACTTTATTTGAGCTTTCTTTATCTTAAAGAAATATATCTTTATATAAATATATATGTGGAAGTTACCTTTAATGAATTTTGCAGTGAAAAGGAAACAGAGCAAGAAGTCATTTAGTCCAAAATCAAGAGTCACTTGGAGTATGTGAAGGCTGCAATCTCTTTTTTCATTTCCTAAAGAGAAAAGAAGAAAAACTAGCAGTTAGCATGAATAAAATCCGGGAGAACCCTGTTTATTTCTTTGTAAGAAAGAATAAATAATGTGCACATACAGTAGGAGTTTGTTATATTTAACAAATCCACATGCTACCACTATCCCAACACCTTGCTATTCCCACTAGCTTCAAATGCATCCTTTCACATCCAAAAATCACGTAGGCAAGAGGGGCTGTATGAGTCTGTATCCGAACATCCAGCTTATTCAAACTGAGTCAATACTGGGAATCCCTGGCTGGGACCATGGGAGCTTCTGGAAGATTTTTCCTGAGTTCTGACAACTCGGAAATTGTCTCAGTCAGGGAATCTGACCACTAGAATTAAACGGTCACAGGCAGGAATCTCTCCATATGTCAAACGAAGGATGCTCAAGCCCTGCTAGTTAAAAAGAGATTATGGTGAGACGAGAGAAAAGCCTCGCGCTCCTGTTATGTCTCACACTTCCTGTCTTTTCAAGAACGGCATGACTACAAAGTATTGCCACGTTTGACTGCCTGCAAGGGGAGAAAGAGGGAGCCACAGACTGAGAAAAGCACCCTCCTTCCATAGCCCACAGCCCTAGAAAGCATCTGGAGAAGAGCTGTTGACAGACTGAGGTGAACTACTTTGCCAGGGTGGACCTTCAAGTTCAAGGCTTTCCCTACTAAAAGGGCCAATGATTATGCCAAATATAACATGACAGTGATAGGAAGTGCCAGAAGACACAAACCAATTCACCTTCACTAATTCAGTTTTGTCATAGTCTTCTCGATGCTGGTAAATGCACTGACTGATAACTGCGTAGAGTTTTTCCAGCTGCAGAATGGTGAACTTCTTGGTTACCAAGGTGACAAAATGCAACAGTTGCTGAAGAAAAAAGAATGAGGGAAATACAAGTTTAGACTTCTAGTGCGAGATTCTTTGAACAGAGTTTTCCATGTTTTTGGAAGATAAACAGTAACTACAGAAGTGACATCCTACTTTTTCTACTGTAAAATAAAATACAAGTGACACTTCAGAGACGGGATTCAGTACCTCAGAAGCTTTAACTGGAGAAAATGAGTTAATTTTTCATACTTCACAGAAAAGGAAAGTTTAATTTTCAGACAGCATCTTATTACTAATCGATGATCTTCATTCCAAATCAACTGCTTCCAGAACAGCAGGGAATGACACAACCCACTTGGTTACAGAGCAGCAGCCACTGCTAAGCCACTATTGCTTTCCATCAGAGAGCTGTGGCTGCCATGCAAGGGTGCAGTAACTGGATATTTGGAAGCCAGGCTGCAGATCTTTTAGATACAGCTGTGCCATCCTGAATGTGGAGTTACTGCTGGTAGAGCTTTGAGTTGGAACAACAATTATCATTCAGCCTCA